AATCTGCAAGTTTCACAGATCCCCTTGCATCCACCAATATATTTGCACATTTAATATCCCTTTGATACAAGAAAAGAACAAAATTGAGCTTAGACAAACTCACCTAATAGTATAGTGCCCATTAGTCCACTAAAAACTACAAATGCCAGGTCAATACAAAATTGAACAAATGTTAGTAGTATAGACACTATGTCCAACCTTATCGCATAAAAATAATTAAAAAAATGGAGAAAAGATTTGAAAAAATATAAAGATATTTTTCTGCCGCACTAAAATGAGCAACGCATATTGTTCCTCCTTTAAATCACCAAAAAGAAACCAAAACGTTTTGTCACGCAATTAAAGTTTCATACATTTCTGAAATTTTTGCTTTTAGCATACTAAGCAATTGATATTCAACTATTCAAAAGTAATATGAATTTCATATTTAATATGCAGACATTTTACCTGTGAACCACATGTCTGTCATGAAGATAGTTCAGTCCGTGCAGAATCTGTCCTGTGTAGGAAGAGACTTGAGAATCTTTAAGTTTACACTTCCGATAGAGTTTTACTAGGGAGCCTTGTGTCGCGAGCTCAAGGAAGATATATAACTTTGATTCATCCTAGAAAGACCATAAAATGAAGAAAAAAAGAGTTAGTATATAGATTCATAAAACTGAATTGAAGTTAGCAAGGCATTGGCAGTCTAATTTTTATGATCCTGTATCCTACGAGAAATTCTAATAAGTTCGGGATAAAAAGTTCCAATGTAAACATAAGATCAATGACTTGGTAACACATGAACCATCAATAGAGCGGAAGGCCTCATGTACTGGGTACCTTGTTGACAATTCTTTACAGCTCATTTCACAGAAGTTTCAAATGGAATAAACAGCATTAACCTTTCCCACATTAATATTAACACTAATAATTTAATATATAATAACTATTTTATAGTATTTAATTTATCTTATATTAAAAACTTAAAATTAGAAGTATAATTAATCAATATTTTAAATTTTAAAAAATTAATTAATTTTAGTTAGGTTGACCCAACCTGACCTTAACCTAACCCACCTGGATTCGAATAATCTTGGTCTGGGTCATATTGGATTCTAGATTGATATCTTAGACCCATGATGCTACCCATAGCAGGTGAATTGAGTCAAATTTTCAAATTGGATCCAATTTTACCAAATCTAAAAGCAGGAGATGCGTACCTTCTCAGTGCCATAATACTGAACAATGTTTTCATGTTCAAACTGACTTAATAGACGAATCTCCTGAAAAGAAAATTTAAAAAACAATAAATCAGCACAAAAAATTGTATATTTACAAATATATCAGCAATGGAAAATTTGTCTGAGAACATAATAAACAACTACTCACCTGCTCAAGTTGGGAAATACTCTCACTTCCTCGGCTTTCTTGATCAGGCAATGAAACTTCTTTTATGGCAAAAGAGAACCCGTCACTGTAGAAAAATAAGTTAATTAATAACAAAAATAAAAAAGTGTTCCACATATATCATCCAAATTATGTAACAATGGTGCTGTGGACTTAGGTGGAAAATTTAAAATACTTTCATGTATCAATAACAAAGTTTACATTGACAACTAAACATGATCATACATCAGTAACAACAAAATCATGTAAAGTAAATAACTAATTAATAGATAAAATGTTGATTGTTTCACGGAAATTAAACTGAAATAACTACCATAAACGGAAAAAAAAAAAAGTTTTAACTTTATGGAACAGGTAGCATATCAATACTTACCTAGAAATCCCTTCGTACACTGATCCAAAGGACCCACGGCCTAGGAGCTCGCCTTTCTTCCAAACAGTAATATTCCTTTGGAACCTGCCATTGGGAGAAATATTGGACATAGGCTCGGTTGTCGTATTGGATAGATCATCACCATTTGAAGTATTAAAGAAACACGATTCAGATAGCACTGAAGTCACGCCGTTCCCATCAGGCCAGGAGAAGACTTTGTGTCCCTTTGGACCTGAAATCACGCCGTTCTTCAAGTCTACGAAGTATTTGCCCTCGCAGCGGCTCCCGTTGGCC